GGCGTGTATGCCATCACCCCCACTTTCAGGTAAGGAAACCGAGGCCCTGAGCCACGACCCAGGGGGCAGGAGAAGCGCCAGCTCCCCTCGCCCCACCCCCGACCCCAAGTCCTCGTCCACCGCGGCGTGGCCTGCCTGCCTGTCCACCGTCCCACCCATGCCTCCTCGCGAAAGGGGAGAAAAACGAAAATGCGGTGAAAGCAAGGCTGGGGAACGTAGACACAGAAGAGGAAGACAGGCCTGGGGAAGGCAGGGCTGCGTTGACTGGAAAGTTCTAGAACCTCTCAGCCTCTGAGCCTTTGGAAAGATGTCCCCTCCAGGCCCTTCCCCTGCCCACCCCACCTCGTACTTCAGTCGCATTGTCCCCTCCCCACCACGGGGCTCTGGACCCGAACCCACTCTCCCAAGAAAAGTCAGGGGCAAGGGCTCGCTCCTGTGCCCCAGACCGTGGCAGTGCCGCCCCGTCCTGTCACCTGTCTGCCCCCCGGGAAGGAGACCTCACTGTGCAATAAGATGTCACGCTTGGAACTATTCTTGGCCTCTGCTGGGCCCTGCCTCGGGCATTTCAAGACATTGAGCGGCTTTAACTAAGGGATGGGTGAAGCTCAGTTTCCAAAGTCACTTCCTGCTTAAGGACAGCTGTGCAGACCTCCTGGTGTCATCTGATCACGACTCCCACAGAACACGGACTCTCGCAGAGAGAAGCAGGGGCTTCGGAGCCTCCGCTCTCCGTCCTGATCGGAGCCCCAGCTGTCCCTGCGGGCTCAGCCCTGATCTCCCCTCGTGTGCAGGGCCGTCCGGACCGGACCGCGCCGCCCTTCTCCCCACCCTCCGTCCGTTCTGTAAACGCCTTCCGAGCGCTGACAGAGCCGAGCGGGAGGGGCGCAAGGGCGAACGAGGCAGCCCAGCCTCTGAGGAGCTCACCAGCCGAAGCTGAGCAACCATCAGAACTACGGTAACTAGCAAGAACGGAGCTTCTCCTGTGTGCCAGGCACTGTGCTCGGACTGTCCCGCAGGTGTATTCTATTAACAGCCCCAGTTTAAGGAAATAAAGCTCCAGGAGGCTAAGCCTCCTGCCAGGGGTCACACAGCGCGGGAGGCCCGCCTCTACCTCGCCGGCCCTCGGGCCTGCGCTCTGACCCTCAGGCCGCAGCGGTGAGCAGAATGACAGGGACGTGCCCGGATGGGGGTGTTCTAACCTGGGCTAGGCAGTCAGGGAAAGCCTCCTAGAGGAGGTGGAACCCCACCTGAACCGCCCACACTGAGCTGGGGTTTCCCAGGTAAATGGGAAGGCTTCAGAAATAAAGAAAGCAAAGGAAGGCGCTTCAGGGGACACGGGGTCAGCCTGGACCCAGGCAAGGAGGGGGGAACGTCGGGAGCGCTGCCGGGGGGCGGGGCGCCCCCACCTTTGTCCCTGACGTCTGTTGTGTCCCTCTTGTTGCCGACTTGGCTCTTGGCTGTGCAAGAGTCATCTCACATTTCCCAGCCTACAGCGCCGGCGTGAGGAGGTGTGGCCGGGAGATGGGGGGGTGCTGTGGGGGTCCCGTGCTCTCCTCTGTGGGCTTAGGGCCAGAGCGCGGAGCAGGCACAGGCTGGAGTGGACCTGCTCTCTGCACGCCTCACGCGGGGAGCCGTGGGCCTGGTCCGGGGACTCCACGGTGGGCTGTGGGTGGGCTGCGGGTGGGCAGCTGCGGGATCGCTCTGACCGTCGCCTGCCTCGTCTGCGGCTGGTGCTGGCATCCTCTCTCGCCCTCTCCCCTTCCTGACCAGCTCTCTCCTGTAGCTTTTGTCTCACAGGCACGAGGAAAGGGTTCCCCTCCTCTCAGGGCAGCTGTCCCCTCTCTTTCGGAGCACTGCGGGGCTGCCCCTCGTGCCCACTGGCATCCCCCAGCCCCCCGTCCTAGAGGGGTAGGGGGCAGTTGCCCTCAAGGGTGGAGAACCCTCCCGGGCACTGCCCTTCCCTCCGGCCTCCGGCCCTCGGCCCTGCCAGGCCGCCCTCTGGGGTCAGGCCCTGCGAACTGGCAGGGGGATGGGGTGCCCCTCCTCTCCTGCCGCCTCTGCTGAGCTTTCGCCCTTGCCCCAGAATCCTCGGTTGACAGCTCATCCCTATTAGTTCTCATTGTGCATTTAGAGCCAATCGGCTTTTATTTATTCATTTATCTTAGTCTTTCTTCCCCCGCCCCTTCCTCGCCAGGCTGGAATTTGCAATTCAGTTCTCAGGTGGCTTTGCTGAAGGACGCAAGCCCGGGGGGAGAGGGGCTCTGCACCCCCGACCCTGGAAAGGGCAGCAGGGTGCGCTGGGGCTCACAGTCCAGTTGGTTGGATGTTGGAACAGCCCAGCACCCGCTGCAGGAGGGTTGCCTGGTCACAGGGACCAGCCGGGCTATGGCCAGGTTAAGGGGCAGTGGGCAGTCCCGCCGCTGTTAGGGCGCCCCCTGGTGGCCAGTTAACAACACCGGCCGTGGCTGGAGGAGTTTGAGCTGCCTGAGCACGTGTGTCGGCCTGCCTGCTGCCCTGAGGCTGGAAATACAGGGCGTGGCATTCTCCAGGCAGAAGAAAGGCAAAGAAGGAAAGGCAGGGATGCCACCCAGGGCTTACTGACTACACAAAGAAGCAAGTAACACCTGCCACACATTGAGCACCTACTATGTGCCAGCGCTGTACCCGGGACGCCACTTGCCCGGGCCGCCTCCTTCCCCCACACGGTGAGGGAGGAAGATACCAAAGCTGGGAGAGCGGGGCCCAGCCCCCCCCCCCCCCCCCCCCCCGGTGCGTAAGCTCCCAGCCTGCCTCCTGAGCCGGGTGACCTTGGCAGGATGTAGGCCACCTTCTAATCCCTAGACTGGGATTAGAGCAGTCCCCGCCTCAGACCATCCTAGAGACCATTCAAGGAGACACGCACAGGGCCTGCTTGGGAGAAACTGCCACAGAGGGCGGTGTGGGGGCTTGAATCCACCCAGACGGGACCCCGCCACCCTGCAGAAGCCCGAAGCCAGCCCCTCCCAAGAAAGGCTGCTTTCCCCTGACAGGCAATGCCCCGCCCTCGTGGCCTGCACGCGGCCATCACAGAGTCGGACGGACACCCAGAAAGGAATATTTGAGTCCATCAGTGTCCCAGTGGAGACACTGAGGACGCACTAGGAGAGGGTGTTGGGGATCTCTTCTTTTCTTCCCCTGCCTCCCTCCTCTCCCGTCTTCCCAGGAGAAAAGCAGAAGCAATCAAAAGCCTCTTCCCAAGCCCCAGGCTCAAGGACGCCGGCCCGGGCTCGGGCTGGGCTGCAGAGCTGACCACCACTTGGCAGCTGCACCGGGCTCTCGCGGTGAGGGCGGAGGTCCCGGGCCAAGGGCACCCAAGCCAGCTGTGGCCAGGAGCAGCCCGTGGACTTGCATTTGATGGTCATCTTCACGCCTCCAGCCCTTGACCAGAAGCTGGCCCAGTGCAGGATGATTGAGCTGCCCCGTCCCCGCCCCCTCCCCCAGCACATTAAGGCAATGATTAATATTTAACAGAAGAAATACAGTCAAGGCTCTAACTCAAGAGGCAGAGGCTGACCCTGCCCAGGGAGCATGCGCCGAGCCGTCACGTGAGCTGGGTGGGCGGGCAGCCCAAGAAACGGACACAGAGCTGGGCTCCCCCAGCCCTGCCCCGGACCCTCAGGGCCAGTCTCCTTGCCTGTCTCTGAGCCAGTGGGGCTCTGGGGTCCCCAGTGCAGCGATCCCCACGGACTACCCAGCCCCCATCCCCAGCCTTCCCCGCTCCCTCTCTCCCTGCTCTGGGAACGGGACCGATGTGTCCCCTGGGGCTGAAGCCTCCCTCCTCAGGAGCCTGGAGGGGCCACGGGCTCAGTCCAGCCACAAACCCAGAGGCCCAGCGGTCCCCTGCGGACACGGAGGCAGCAGACGCCCCCCCAGGACAACGCTGGGCCCTCCCATCAGCTCCTGCGGCCTGGCTGCCCTGCCCAGCTCTGGCCTCCAGGGAAAGGCCCAGCGGGAAGGCCCCTCTGCAGGCAGTCAGCTCAGTGACTTCGGGGCCAGACCCCTGACTTGCGGTCCCCCCACTTCCTGGTGCGCGACTTTGGGCCTCAGTTTCTCCATCTGTGTGACAGGAATGACAACAGCCACCATCTCGGGGGCACCTGCTCGGTGCCTGGGCATTTTCCACACATAGATTAGCTCACGCGCTCCTTACAACGGCCCAGGAGTGCGCGCCATTAGGGCGCCCATTTCACAGATGAGGGCACAGAGGCCCCAAGATGCCACCGGTCCAGAGCCATCGCCCACAGCTCCTACAGAATCCCCCTGGCTGAGCGGAAGGGCAGATTCCATGGGACGGCGGCTCAGCCCACGGGCTCTAGGACCGCGCAGAAGTGACCCCCGCCGCCGCCATTGCTATGACCTGAGTACTGCAATACTTGGTGGCACATAGGGATGGAGTCAAAAAGGGCATCAGCCACGCTGCCCGCCCTGGTCTGACCCCCTCCTGACTCCCCCGCAAATACCCTCTGCACCTCCATCGCACCCCACCCCACCAAGTGCCAGCTCGGAGCCTGGCCTGGCCAAACTCTTTGCTGGATTGGACGGGCTGGGAGAGGAGGCTGTCAGGCAGAAGGGATGAAGGGCGAGGGGAGTGGGTCAGAGCGTAGCTTTGCAAGGAGTGCCCTGCCCTGGATGCCGACTTCCTGCAAGGGAGGCGGGGCTTCTCTTCCAGGCTAGAACTTCAACAACTGTGGTCTTCCCAAGAGAAAAGGATGTAGTAGACCACTGCCTACGAATTTCCCGACCCCAGAGAGTAATGTCACTTGACCCCAGGGTGCTCAGGGTGGCCTTGGCTTTGGCCCATTTCCAAGGCGGGGCCAGAGACTTGGTCCCAATCCAAACTGCAGCATGGTCAACCTTGTACCTGCTTCTCCTACTCCAAGGCTCACGCATCCCAGGGGTCTGTCCCAGACCCACCCCCCTCCCACTGGCCCGAGCAAACAGAACGGCAGCAGCTGACTTACGTGGGAGCAGAATCTCTCAGGGGGGTCCCCGCACGTGATGCCCGAGGGCTCCACCTTCACCTTGACATAGTCCTTCAGGCGCATCACCTTGGGCTGGCAGGCGTAGAACTCCCAGGTGGGGCCCTCCTCCGAGGTCACCCAGGACTTGCAGATGTCGTAGTCCCCCAAGGCCAGTGGGAGGCAGGGCAGGAGGAGAGCCAGCAGGCCCAGCATGGCTGTGCCGTCCGCGGAGAGGCCCTGGAGAAGCAGCGGCGGGGTCAGGCGGGACGCGCGACCCCGGCATGGAAATGCCACATCTGCCAGGCGACAGAGGCCAGGTGTCCCGGGGCCTCGAGCGCCGCTGCCGACGAGGAACAGCGAGGAACTTGCTTTTTCCAAAAGGCCGGTACGGAAAACTCAGAGCCAGCGTTTCTCAGACTGCTGATGGGCAGATCAGAAAGTGGCCCACAACTCCGTGTCCTGCTAACCTTGGCATCGCACCTCCCCCCGAGGCGAATGTGATCGAGTCAGGCAGACTCTCGAATTGTGACAGTGGGTGGAAATGGGATAGGGAGGAAGCCCGCGGGGACCTGGCATGGGGCCGGATCAGGTTGCCTTGAATTTTTGTCCTTCCAATCAATCCAGGTCTTTAAAGAGCCTTTCATGGGTGATGTGCTCGACACCGCTGCAACACAACCCTCTGGCCTGTGTTGTAAAAATAAAATAAAATCAGGAGGTGGACGTGTTCGCTGGAAACATGTTCCCTCTACAGAAGCGCACGTGGCATCTCAGGCCAATAAAAGCGATTTCTTTTCCTATGGGCTTCAAGTGACAGCAGTTATGAGGCTGGACTGGAGCATAAAAAAGCGACGGAGGTGTTAACTGGGGAGAAGCTTATTTGGCTCTGTTTTTGTGGGGACAGGCACAAATGGGGGCCAGCTGACCTTGGCTGGTAGCCATTGGCAACTTATTATGAAGTTTCTGGGACTTCAGCTCAGTCCATGCGGGTACCCAGAGTCTGGCTTGTTTTTCATTGTAAGAGGGGAAGAGAACTCATTAGCAACAACACCTGCAACAAATTAAAAAGAGAAGGGGGGATGAAGATGTAGAAGAACAAAAGCGCTCCGGCAAAATGTGCAAAAAATGAGGCTGCATTAGCAAGGTCTCCCGAGGAAACTGGGTTATTTTTATTAATATTGGAGTTGCACATTTGGAATCTGGGCACATTATTTAAAAGGTGATGCATCTTCTCCTTGCTTCATGGGGGTGTGAGGCCAAGAAAGTGCCCCTGCTTGGGGGTGAGCGACCCCCTAAGGCATCCCCAGCAGCTGAAGTTGAATGGTCGCTTTAACATACCATGACCGACAAGTCAAACCGGCAAGGCAGAGGGAGACTGGAAGTGCAGCTGCCCGTGGGACCGCGCCCCCCGGAGCGGGCAACAGCGTGGGCCATGAGTGGCTCGCGGGTGGGAAGCAGGGGCTGACCAGCATCTCGCCAAAGCGTTGGGTTTAACTTTTAACTCCAAGAAACGAGGGATGCTGAAGACTTCAACACAGGTGACAATGACTTGTCATTTAGATTTTGTGATCAAGGCCAAAATTCTGCAATCAGCCGTAGAGGGCATGTTTAGAAATGGATCTCTGTTATGGTTTATTGCTTTACCATTTTAAGCTCCTGGAAATTATTTAAAAGCCCGAACAGATATAACTAATGCAAATGTTCTATTGAGAAAAAAAAAAAAACCCCAACAACCCATGGCTCCAGTGATGTGGTGCGTCCTCGGACACTTGGACACACCCTCAGGAGAACCCACGTCGGGCCAGCGCGGGATCCTGACCAAGAACACCAGCCAACAGGGCAAAGGTTGCTGCAGTGAGTCACGGCAGAGGCGCCTGCGTTATTAATTGTGCTGGCTCTGGCCCTGCGATGATTGCTCTGGATTCCCCAACCACTGCAGGGGGGCACCAACTTCAGCCCGCCTCCCCCCTGGCGTCCCCTCCAGCGACCGCCGGGCAGAGAGGGTCCCTGGAGAGGGTTAGCCACACTTCTATGAAGTGTCTCCACTTGGACACAAACGCGCTGCTGCCCAGAATGACAAACCGGAGGGCTGGACATTGTCCCGAGGGGGCTGGCGGCTCAGCACCTCCCCAGGAGGAGCCAGTGCCGGAGCTCCTGGCCCAGATCGTAAATCTGAATTAAGGCGGCCCCTGCCCCCTCTCTGGCTGAGGCGGCTCCTGATGGAGATGGATGAGGGGCACCGGGACCACATTCTCCTGTCTCACCTCTGGCTGTTTAAAAAGAAACCTGTTATAGAGTCTGCCCGGCCTTGGATACGCTTCTGGCTAGAAAACTCTCTGAAAGAGCCCGCCTGACGATTATTTTTACAACCCGAGAAAATGTAGTAAAAATAAAATAGCACGGCCAGCAAAGGTTTAGATGCCTCTCTTACCCAAGCGAGCTTTGTGCCGCCAGAAAACAGCAGGTCCCTAATTAAATCTGCCAGCCGCGGCGTCCCAACTGTTCACTAACAGGTAGGGCGCTCCTGCCGGCGGGGGGCCCGGGGGCGACGGCTGCGGGCTTCCTTCCTTGCGCCGCAGGACCGGCGGCCTCTCGGAGCTCGCGGCTCGAGGCTGGGCCGGCGCTGCGCGGGAGGCAGCGAGGCCGGAGGCCAGGAGGCCCGGAGGCCTGGGCGCGCGGCACGCGGGGCCCCTCGCAAACCTTTTAATTGCATTGCCATTCTATGGGCTGCAGCGCCACGCGCCCCTGGAAAATGGGGCGGGGAGGGGGGGCGACAACAGCAAAACCTGCCGGGGGCGGGGGTAATAAATGCGTTTACAACCAGTCAATCAGATGGGCGTTGCTGCCTTCGTGGGGAAATTGTGAACTCGGCACACAAATATTACAGTCGGTTTTTGCCAAAAGAGAAAAAACCGGAGGGGGCGGAGAGGCGCGACAGTCCCCGGAATCAGGAGGCGGGAAGCGGGAGCGAGCAGCCCGCCGGGAAATCTCGGAGTGCGAGGTTGCATCCCGGCGGGTCGTTTTCTCCTCGGAAAATAAATCTTCACCTGATATTATTAAGAAACTGCAGCTCCCCGAAACAAATGGAATCGATGCGCTTTATTTTCTTTTAAGAGTCCTCAGGAGCCGAGGGGGGCTGATAGCCAGGGTATTAAAACCCGAAAATTAGATTTTACCAGGATTTCTGAACTCCGATTCCTCGGTCTGATTGAATCAGCGCCTCTCGGAGCCGGCTCCTCCCGGACGCGCAGGCTGCGCCCTCGTGGGAAACTTGCCGCCGTGAGCGCGCGGCCCCCGGGGCCGCTGGAGCGGGGCGCCGGGGGCTTCTCCCGGGACCCAGTCCACCCCAGGCTTCTGCTCCCTTCCCCGCGGGGCAGCCAAGGAGGGTGCAGCTGCCTCCGGCGGGTGGTGCCGGGGAAAAGGGGAGTCCGCCGGGGTCACCTTCCGGGCCTCCGCTCCCCGCCCCGCGCCAGGCCGGGCTCAGTGGGCGCCCCTCTCACCGCCGGCTCCTCTGGCGTCCTGGTGCCGGAGGCCTCGGTGTCCCAGCCCCGGAACAGGACCTGTCTCCGGCTCCCGACGAGCCCACGCCCTCTCGGCGACCGCGGTGCCCCGAAAAGTTGAGTGCGGGAGATGGGGCGCGAGGAGGGGCCGGGGCGGGGGCCGGGGCGGGGGTCCGGGCGAGGCCGCGCTCCGGGGCTGCTGCAAGCGGCGGGCGCGGCGCGCGAACGTGCCGGGCAGCCCCTCGGCTGCTTTGTGTCTTCCGAAGTTGAGTGCAGGCCACAGAGCAAGGGACACTCACGCCCTTAATAAAGGCTGCGCCGGCGCCGAGCGCGCCCCCTCACTGGGCACAGCCTCAGTAATTAGAAGACACCCAGCGAAGCGCCCCACAGGAGTTGCGTCCTTCCCCACCAGCTCAGCTGCCAGCGGCAACCCCGCCACCGCGCCCCCTCCCCTCCCTTCCCCTCCCCGGACCCAGGCGCGCGACTTACTCCAGAGCCGGCGACCCTGCGAGCCCACGGTCCTCTTCCCGCCTAGTGCCGCTTCCGCGCCCCCATCCGCGCGCCACCCAGTTCGAGGTGCGACTCCACACCGTCCCCAAGCCTGTCCCTGCGCAACCCCTCCCCCATAAGTCCACCCCTCCCGGCGCGGAAGGAAGTTTCCAGTCCTGGCCGGCCCAGAGTTTCTCCGTGCAACTCACACCCAGTTTTCGGAGGATGGGAAGGGGGTGCGGTGCGGAGCTCTACAGGGCAGCCATTAAATTGGGGTGGGGGGATGGAACGAGAGGAGGGTTGATTTCCTTTCCACAGACACATCCAGGCATTCTCGCAACATCCATCCCCAGCGCGCGCGCACACACACACACACAGGGGCGCGCGGTGGAACAAGACCCCGGTGGGGGAGAGCCAGCCGGGAAGACACGCTACCCCTTTAAGATGCTGCTACAAACGCACACTCACACACCCCTCTCCGGCTCCAGTCCTCCGCTAGCGACAGCCGCCACCAAATAACTTTTGCATCCGAGCCTCGGCTGGGCGGCTGTAAGTGGCTCCCTGCTTGGTCACCGAAGCCCTTTAAAAATGAAACCAGGCTGGCAAAGCCGCAGCATCTCTCCCCGCGCTCGCCGGCCGGGCTCTCCCCGCCCGCCTTACCCCGGCTCGGAGCAGCTTCCCGGAGCGGAGACCCAGAGGCCGAGGACCGCCGCCCGGCTCCGGCGGGCGCTGGGTGGGGGCGCGGGCTGAGGGCTGCGAGCTGCCGCTCGGTCCCCGCGCCGCTCCCGCCGCCGCCGCCGCTGCCGCCGCCGGGGCCGTCAGCGCGGGGCCAGGGCGCCCTCCGGCCGCCAGGGGGGCCGCCCGCAGCCGTCCCGGGGACGCGGGCCGGAGGCGGGGGCCGCCCGCGCCGCCAGCATCGCCCGCCCCGGCCGAGCCGGAGGTCGCCGCTAACAAGTGCAAACTTTTCGGGCCCCCTGGGCGGTGTGGAGAGGACCCGCGCTCGGGCGCCGGGCTGCCCCCGGCCCGGGTGGGCTTCGCGGCGGCTCGTCGGGGCGCCGGGGCATCCCCCCCGCACGGGGCGGGCCAGATGGCGGGGCGCTTCACGGCCCCGCTGCGCGCTGCTCCAAGTTAATGCCGAGGCTAAATCCTCCTGCCATCACTCACGATCACCATCGGGGCTTTTATCTCTCGGTCTGATCCGGGCTGCGTAACTTCCTCTGTGTGGCT